AAATCCAACTCATACTGAGTGGTGTTGGGCTATTGAAGGGTTTCCAACTCCAGTACCCTGGGGCACCGGAGAGAATCCTGAGGCCTAGAGTGGGGGAGTTGGAGAGGGATGAACAGGAGGGGGATGAACTCAGGCTGGGGGGCACAGATGCTGAGCAAATAGAATTGCACATCTGGCCCTGATGCAACCCACTACTTCTGAGTCCCTGCTCACGCTAGGGACAGGAACTAACACTAACACACACACACACACACACACACACACCCAGAGGCATGCACGCACGCATGCACCCAGCTGCTGACAAAGTTCAGGGCCTGCTCCCATCCAGTTCCTCCCATGAGCTGGGGATCAGGGACCTGCCGGTGGGAACCTTAGGATGCACTCTGCATGCATGTACCATCCCTCCCACACCCCAACTACACAACCAGGAGACAGGTGCATTTGAGGGCAAAGACACTTGCAAACACACACATCTAGAGATACCCCTAGCACCGACACAGCTGAGAGCAAAACCTTGGGAGGAGGCACACATACACTCACCACCCTGGTTGCTGCCCCCTTCCCTGTTCCTTTCAGCCCCTCACTTTTCCCAGGACTGAGAGCTGGACAGCCTCTTTCTCCTGCCTCTGCCCTTTCCCAGCCTCCTTTCCCAAGCCCTCCCGTCTTTATGAACAGCAGCAGCAGCTTCCCAATACCGAGGAAAACCCGGGCTGTTTGCCCTGGGGCTCATCTGCTTCCCCTAGGCTTCTGCCTTTTCTAACCCTAGTGGGGAGGGAGTGGAAATGGCTCCTCTCGCCACCCCCCACACTTCCTTTAAGAAACCAGAGGCCCTGTACTGGCACAAAAACCCAGAGCTCGCCCATCGGATTGGAAACTAATTATACAGCAAATTTTATTTGTTGTCCCTGCCTTCAGCTTGTGGCAGCTCTCTTGCCTTTTGTTAGTTGTCTGTGGATGTTTTTTAATGGCTAAACACTGACTCATTCTGACTGTCCCTCCAAAGGAAACAGCCCCCGTCTACAACCGTCCCCTGATCACTGCTTCCTCATACCCAAACTCCCCACTGGCCTCCACCAGCCTCCAGGGGCCTCCACCCAGAAACACTCCCAGTCCTACCAAAGCCCAACCTCACCCCCAGGCCCCGAAGCTTGGGCTTCTGAAATGGCTCATACAGTCTCAGGCCAACCCCCTTCCTCTGGTATGACTCAACTCTGAAAGCCAGGGGACCAGGGAGGGACTTAGGAGGAGCCCCCCTCCACCGGAGCGGACGGAAGTATTGCCTCAGTCCAGCTCCAAAGCCTGGCCCACAGGCCTGCGGGGGAAGGCGGTTTTGACATTGGCCGCTGCTGCAGGGTGTATACAATGGGAGGGGATGTGGTTCCGTAATCACTCAGCCGGCAGCCCAGGGGAGCCAGCTGCCTGAAACCAGATTGTAAGGCGGCTCAACCTTAAACCCACAGGATTCTTTTTCCGTCTTCCACTTCCCCTCCCCAAATGTGGGAGGGCTGTGATCTAGGGCTGGGCTGGGAGCAAAGGGCTCAGGGCGATGAAGACACATACTTTCAGGTTTGTTCATGCAGGAGCGTTGGACACACAGGCACACACAGGGCTGCGATGCCCACACACGGAGAGCGGGCTCTCCGGAATAATCCCAACAGCTGAGACCCTGTCCCGATACTGCTTGGCTGCCCCGGCCTCGTCCTCACAGATATGGGAGCGCTGCTCTCCCTCCGGAAGCTCCCCTCCACCCCCCAGTGCGTTTCCAGTAGGGCTTGAAACTAACATGGCTGCTTTTGTTTACTTCCTCATTGGTATGCCAACATCATGGATCATGTCAGCCACAGCAGCGGCACCAGGACACTCATTACATAAACAGCAGCTGGAGATGCAGAACCTGGGTCACTGCCTTGGTGACTTCCTGCAGGGCCTTACAGAAACCGGGCTGGGGGAGGGGGCTGTGCGGGAAAACGGAAAAGCGGCACCCAAACTCGAACAGCCCCACACCTCAGCTCCACAAATGACTCACAAGATGGGCTCGCTGAGCACAGGTGCAGGAATGGATTAAGTGGCCATGGGGGATCCTTCTTCCCAGAACCTGACCCCAAACTTTCAGAGTATTCGAGTCTGGAAGGGAGCCTCTGGCCTGAGGTCACGGAAGTCAGCCTGCCTGGATGGGTGGTCCCCGGGCGGTAGGGAGTGTGTGTGTGTGTGTGTGTGTGTGTGTGTGTAGGATACTTGCCCGGATCTCATTCCTGCGGATCTCCACGTCGCACACCGAGTGTCCCTGATGCGCACCGCTGTAGTAGCAGCAATACTGGCACACGGCCACCTGCTCGGCCTCGCAGTGGTAGAGGCGGTAGGCG